ACTCCTTCGCACTAGACGACGTGAACCCATAGTAAGGAGTCGCGCGAAGCTCATTTTTTAGCTTTTCCTGCGCAGGCAAAAAATAGCTCCGGCTCTTGATCGGCTCCCCATACGGAGTCCTTTCCAAAACAGACGTTTGGCACAGCTCTGCAGAAGCCGAAGCTGAAGCCCCTGCAGGAGCCCTGTCAAATAGACTCTATATGCTCGTTCAGCGCTTCGCCCGCGCATATTGGCCCTTTCCAGCATAAAGACCCTGTTGCTAAACTATAACAAAATGGTCCCAGTTTCATGGCCTAATCTGTCAGAACAAACACTTTTTTTTTGGCCATTCACGCATTTGATACATGAGAACATAGCCACATAGGCCATGTGCTATGCTACTCTCTTTCGGTCTCTTACGCCGTTACGCGAGCATACACGCAAATATATAATCAGCTTAATTAAGCATGACAAGACAAGAAGAGATATCCAGTATAAGACCAAATGGAAGATAAAGATTTGCCGAAGAGTAGCTAGTGGCATAGAGGAGCCCTAGTTTCTTTCCCATGAATAGAGGATGTTGTCCACGAACACTGTGCATGCAGCACAATCTACTCGTGCAAACCCAATAGATTTGGGGTCTCAAAGGCTGTGACATTTTGGATTTATCTATCTTTGCCTTTTTCGTATCGAAAGGGCGGGTCTGGTGCAAACGGTAGAGTCTTACCGTCTGTGACCGGAAGGTTCCGAGTTCGAGTCGTGGTCTCCTCGCATTGCACAGGTGAGGGTAAGGCTTGCCACTGACACCCTTCCCTAGACCCCGCACAGAGCGAGAGCTCTCTGCACTGAGTATGCCCCTTTTTTTTACCTTTTTCATATAGCTTGTTGGGATCACATGCAGCTAATAATTAAGGTCTTTTTTAATCCTCAGTTAATAACTCAGTTGATGTCTTACCTATCATCAATCTAATATTAGTTGTTTTTTTTCCAATTTAGTTAGTTGAGTCGATCCAAACAGAGCCCTAGCAGGGTTGGAAGAAAGTATTACAACATTCGCCGATGGCCCCCGTAGTCTCGGGTGCATAAATAGCAGAAGCGAAGCTACAACATGTCATAGGGGTCTGTCGACCCCGACTATAATATTTAAAATTCCGATAAAAAATATTGTATTCCAATAAAAATTGCTCTATGTAGTGCTAATAGTTTCTAATGAGTCAAAATCTATTTTCACACAACACCTCGATGGCCATCTGGCCAAGATTCGCCCCTGGTAAATAAGGAGGGCTTATATCATTATCTTCCACCTCTAGTCCCTCCTTTCAAGTTTGTTCAAGCTTTCATAGATGCAAATTTGTAGGGAGACTTAGTAGGGGCTCCATGGTCCGAGTAGCGGCAACAGTTGCTCGAGCCCACCCCACGCGGTGGTAGATCCGCCCCGGGTACATGTGACCTCACTTGTCTTCGGTGGGCAGGTGAGCTCTTTGTAGGCGGGCGGGATTGAGGGTGGAGCCTTGGGTGGGAGATGGCGTGGGTTAGGGTCAGGGCGGCAGCGGACTAGGCGACCATACGAAGAAGAATGTGAGAGAGGATAGCACGTGGATTTCACTTAAAGGGATCTCTAAAACAGATCATAAACTTCACTGTATCCTCTTAGTCGTCGTCCCTCTAACCAAATACAAAACTGATTTCTTTCAACCAAATACCGGATGTGATCATCTGAGTGTAAAAGGACTGAAATCGAATTATTTCATCAGACTTCATTCTCAAACAAACACACCAGGTCTTCATCTCGAAGTTAAGGCATGGGTCATCACGTGGAGATCACCAACTTGCGGAATCCTTTCTTGGACAACGAGCTCAGCTACTCCTGCATTTCCAGCTAGTGCTAGCTGATGTTATCTCGAGCCGGCAGCAGGCAGATCGTTCGAGGTGACGACAAGCTTGTGCCTGGTGTAGCTGCATGCATGCGTACAGAGAGACAGAGCCGGCGCGTCAAAACACAACAACGATCAGTGGCTCGGCTCTGGCGATTGGTTAGCCTGCCTGTTGCCGCCCTACGCTACGGCCAGTAGTGTGCAGCAGTAGCATATGTATAGCTTGGAACAGTGGAACGTTCTACCAGCTACGATGGAGTATATACGTAGACCGTTTGACGACATACACAGAGTACGGTAATAATTAAATTTCATTCGCTTCAGGGTTAATCCTACGTTGGAAAGTTACTCCACGAGGTTAACGATGTGTCAACTTTCAAGCGAGCGCCATGCGGACGGATGTGAGCTGGCCTACCGTACCGAGAAGCCGACACATTCCCTAGTCCCGAAAAACGCTGCTTTCGGCCACTCAGAAAAGTGGGGCCTCGAAAAAAAAAACGCTGCTTTCAAAAGGCCGTGACTAAAGTAATTAAAACATTTAATAAAAGCGGCTAAAATTGATGGCGAAAAAAACTTGGAAGAGCTCGATGCAGCTCGACAGCTCGTCTCGGAGGTGATGCACTTACGTACTCTGACTTTTGACACTTGCCACTAACCTCGGGTTAAGTACTACAGTGCCAGCGTCGTACGGAGTATACTCTTTGGCAGCCATGCATTTATGCAGCCGATTGATGAGTAAGTGTTGACAGGCGCGTATAGTATACATATACACGTACGCCGCTACGTCAGTACGTGTACAGTACAGTATAGATATAGGTATAGTACTAGACACAGCAGTGCATGTATTTCTCATGTGCGCAGTGTGCACGATGAAGATCTGGTTTGCGTACGGTAGCAGCAGTCGCCAACAAGAATTAAGGCCGGTGATGATCGATGATCGAGGTTACAAATACAATCAGAAAGTTCTAGCTAGCTAGATCCATCGGCTGAACCTGACCGAGCACGAATGGCGGAGGAGCACGTCTGCCGCCGGGCCTCTCCTCCATGCCGGTCACACGACAAGTCAACAGACAACGAGTAGCCTCTCCTGCCGGATCGAGGACCCCCCGTGTCGCTATCTGCGGGCATCGCTTTCACTCCGGAGAATCAAGAGATCGGACGACCAGCCTCTCATCGATAAAGTCGCTGCACGAATACCGAATACCGAAATGGAAGGGCAATATGCTCAACGTTGCTGGACGAACGGCTCTGGTGAAAGCAACTACGCATATGTCCATCGTCCTCTGCTTGTCGCCTTGGGCGATCGAGTCGATTGACAAGCTGCGTCGCGTCTTTATCTGGTGTGGCTCAGACAAAGTCTCCGGAGGAAAGTGCAAGGTGGCATGGGAGACTGTGTGTCGCCCCAGGGATCTCGGTGGCCTCGGCGTCTCTGACGTGCGAAGTGCCGGGATCACCCTACGAAGTACGCTGGGAGTGGCAGGCGCGAGTGGAGCGTCGACCTGCCCTGGCTTTGAAGGAATGGGCAGTTATTGCCGTGTTCCAGGCGGGCACTGTATTCATGCTTGGGAATGGAGAGTCCACATTCTTCTGGACAGACAGATGGCTTGACGGCCACAGCATTGAGGATGGTGCTCCCGCTGTTTTCGCCGCGGTGAAAGCGAGAAAGCGGAGGGCCACCGTTGCCGAGGCCCTACACAACAACGCATGGATCGACACATCACCGGGCCGCTAACCATGCAGGTCCTGCTCCAGTTCGATCGCCTGTACGACCTATTGGAGGGGGTGCAGTTATCGGCGTAGCCGGACACCTTCGCCTGGAGGTTCACCGCCGATCAGTGCTACTCTGCAGCATCTGCATATGGTGCTATGTTTATCGGATCATCATCGCCTCTTGGAGCTAAGCACATATGGAAAACATCGGTGCCACCGAAGGTTAAATTCTTCTTTTGGCTGGTCATGCACGGCAGATGCTGGACGGCGGACGGTTCCGCCATGGTCTGCAAGATTCGAATGCATGCATCTTCTGCGACCAGGGCGCCAAAATGATGAACCACATCCTTCTTGGATGCCCCTTCAGTCGCAAGGTCTGGGAAGCCTGGTTCAGGAAGCTACACCTGCAGTACACCGTCGTTGTTCAAGATGAACCGGCTATCCCATGGTGGCTACGATGCAGGAAGGCGCTACCAAAACAGCTCCGCCGTGGGTTTGACTCCCTCTTCTTCCTCATCGGTTGGTCCATTTGGAAAGAACGCAATGCGAGAACCTTCAATGGAGTGTCAACCTCGGCGGCGCGTCTTGAGGTCTCCATCCAGGAAGAAGCTGACGCTTGGTGCATGGCGGTCTACAAGCACCTCGGTGCACTGATGGCGTCAATTTGAGCTCTGCAACAACGGTCGCGAAATTTGTATGACGTAATTACAGCCTCTGTTCTTCCAAACGAAATATGTGCCCAGTCACGATCGGAAAAAAAAAAAACAGACAACGAGTACGAAATGGATGGAGACCCACGAACAACACGCAAGTACAGATGCTCACCCTACCCTTGTACCACCTATGCATGCTTGCATGTGTCACGAATTCTCAAGCACAGCAGTTATATGATCAAATGCACAACATCATCTATTATATATTTGGTCATGGACTTAACAATGGTGTAAGCATGCATGCGATCGAGCAACCGCCCCCGTTGCATCAAGTACAAAATTGGTAGCCACCGGCTATACACACCCTCGCGGACCCACCCACCAGGAGGAGCCTGTGCCTACCTGGGCTTGCAACAGCAGGGCCTGGTTGCTCCCAGCAGCAGCTAGCTTTGCGTTGCTTTGCTTCTCCTCCCGCCTGCCTCCTCTCGAGTCTCGTCAAAACACTGCAGCAGCGAGACTAGATGCATGGCCCTAGCTAGAAAAGGCCATCCATCCCTCTCAGCAGGCCTCACGCAGCTGCAGCCAACCAACCATCACTGCCACCTCTCTCTCTCTCTCTCTCACTCATTCTCTCTACATAGGATTACACTTAAGTACTTCTGCTAATGACACTGCTACCTAAGGGTAATAGTAGTAATAAACAACATAATTAACAGGACATATATATATATATAGCGGCAACGTCGGCGACGTAACGGGGTCTGTACGAGCGCATGCATGGCAGTTACGCGAGCGGCGCCCTATGGGGCGCGCCCTTCCGCCTGTTGCCGAGCGAGAGGACGATCTGAGGGAAGAACCCGCCGCCGCCGCCGCTCTTCTTCTTCCTCGTCGGGACGACGTCATCGCCACGCCGCGCGTTCCTGGCGGAGGAGCCGCCGCTGCTGGAGCCGCCGCCGTAGTTGCCCCCGTTCTGCAGCATGGGGTCCTCGAGGATGGAGTTGGGCGTGACCTGGCCGCCGTACTGCCCCGCGGGGTCGTCGTCGAAGCGGAGGTTCTCGAAGCGCGGGAAGCCGCAGCCCACCAGGTCCGGCGGCCCGCCGCCGCCCGGCACGTACAGGATGTTGGACAGGTCCCCGCCGCCCTGCATCATCACATGGTCCACCTGCGTGCGTGCGTGCGTCCATTATTAGTTCTTGGTTTCAAGTAAACACGCCACGGAAACGGGGCCGTTAGGCCGTACCCGTATCTAAGCATGCATGTGCGACCGTGTGACTGCATGCAAACTTACTGCGTGTACATATATTTTCGTATGGGTGGTGGTGGTATCTATAGTAGTAGTAGATAGTACTGTAGTACCTTGCAGGAGAGGCAGCAGAAGTGGAAAGGCTCCTGGAGGATGCGGTCACAGGTCAAGCAGACGTTGCCAGAGCCCTTGAAGGGCCTGGACTGCGGCCGCGGCTTGAGGAAGATCACCTTGGCACTGTTGATCGTGTAGGGCTGCATGCATGCATCAGAGAACACCATCGGTCAGGATTCAAATCAACAATTCGGAGCACGCACGCACGCAGCAGAAGCACAGGTACCTGGACGAAGGAGCAGTCGATGAGCCTCTCGAGGTCGTCAAGGCGCACCACGTCATTGTACACGTACCTCCTCACCTGCCCATGTCGAGCGCACATTGTATTAGGAACATCATTCTACAGTACGGTACAGCCCGTCGTACATACTATACGGTAGGCATGGTACATAGTGAGTGATCGCACATAATGATCGGTAGACTAAAGACCCTTCTTCTAGAATAGAAATCCTGTGTGCGTGTGAACGTGGTGAGCTGCGTGTCTTCTAGAATAGTTTCCAGCGGGAAGGGGGAACAGGCCTGGCGTCTGACGAGCTAGCTAGGCTAGTCACCTATATAATTGCGACGCTTCGACCGGCGGCTCGCTCGTCGCCATCCTTATCGCGGGAGACCAAGGCGTGCGTCCGTCCACTGTGTGTGCCGGCCGGCGCAACGACCGAAACGCCCCTGTCCCCGGGGAAAATCCAGACGACGCCTCGAGGGCACAACGGGCAACAAGCTCGCTGTCCGGATTATTTTAACCCCGCGGTAAAAAATAAACACACAAGGAAGGAACGAACGAAAAGGTGGTGGGAGGGTGGGAAGCGAGTGAACGCCGGCCGGCCACCACCGGCTCGCATGGTTGGTCACTCAGAGACAGAGAAAGAGAGCAGCAGCACCAAGCACAGGCACCAGGCAGGCGGCCACGACGACGACGACCTAACTGTGGCCTGAATGCATGAACAGTGTCGCGCCATCAAGGCCCGGGCTTGGACGGTAGCAGCAAGCAAAGCATGCAGGCGGTCATACTATTCGGAGGCGCCAACAGTTTTGAGAGCGCGGCTTTTGTTTTTGTGGGCGTACGTGTCGTCGTTGTTTTTGACACGTTCGCTGGTTGGTGCTGGTGTTGATTTGGACTGACTGATATTTGCTTTTTTGAGAAAAAAATACTATTGACTGGCTGGTTTGGGCTGACTGAAACCAACAAGCGAACAGACTGTTTATCGTGGGTGCATGCGTGCATGCACCTGGTAACTCTCGCTCCCGTGGGTGGCCTGGCTGCAGTAACAACCACCAGCCAGCCAGCCAGCGGTAGCCAGTAGGACGGAGCAGCGGCGGCAGCAGGAACAGCAGCACTGGCACTGCGTTAGTGTTACCCGGCCGGGCAGCGGCCAGCGGCCATGCATGCAGGACCATCCATTTATCAGCCAACCAGCGGCGTCGTCTCGTCTGATCGTCTCCGCAGGAAGTGAAGAGGGTGAGTGAGTGAGTGAATGAGTGGTGACCGGCGAAGGAAGGCGCTTGCTTTGCTATACATGGCAACACAATCCGGATAACCCTGTCCATTTGTGTCAGTGACGCTCGCATGCAATTCGGCTGGGAATGAATTATTCAGCTGACCAACAAGGCTACGCAGATTGCAGACAAGGAACTATACGTACGTGCGTACCGGTAGCCCAGTAGCAAGCAACTCGATCCACAGTGGGATCACTATTAGCACCGTTAAAAAGGCCGCCCGGCGCCACCGGGCTCGCCGTGCAGAGATCAGAGCGGCGGCCGGCCGGCCGGCCGATCAGGGAAGAATCGGAGGGGCGTGGAAAGGTCAAGGCGCGCAGCGTGAGAAGAAGGGAGGGAGGGGAGCAGCCTTTGCAGGCGAGCCAACAAAAGGGCAGAACGTGCACTGCAGGAGGGAGGAGGCCGGAGGCCGGCCGGCCGCCAGGTCCCAGACCACCCAGGAGCGCATGCATCATGCCTCATGCTGTCATGCACGCAACCACCGCCGGACCGGCGGGCGGATGGGGAATTCAACCAGCAGCAGGCCCCAGGGGCGTGAGACTATGCTTGTTCGGGGCGTAAGGCCAAGCCGGATCAGGCCTCGCCACTTTTCGTTTTACCCTCCCCGTGGTGCCCCGTCTCCCAATCGAGCTCGGGGCTTTTACTTCTCCTGCGTCCTGCCACTGCCACCATCCAAGAGGCGCAGCATGCACGACAGGGCGGGCGCTGGCACTGGCTCGCAAGAGAGGAAAGGAGAGGCGATCCTAAATTGCATGCAGTGAATTGGCAGTGAATTTCCCTGGTAGGCTGGTACGGCGGTGATTAGTGGAGACGGAATTTATAAATTTGAGTGGGAGTGATGATGATAATTAAGATCATCAACCAGAGGCGCCGGCCGGTAGAATCTGGCTAAGCGAGGGAGTAATTGGGGCACAGAAAACGACAAGAGGAAGTGTGATGCCGAGCAGCACGCACGCACGGGGTCCTAAGAGCGGCCGGCGGGGCGTTAATTGCCCTGCCCCGCCTTGGGACTGCGCTAACTCTTGCCCCTCGCGCCGCAATTAAGCCCAACCGAGGCAACCATGCCGTAATTACGCGGCCAAAGCCTACCTAGTTGCTACTACTACTAGTACACCACTGTAAGAGTGGAAATTGCTACTAGCTCCTAGTACAGGGAGAGGAAAGGAGGAGATGATCCCCTTTGAGAAGCAGCTAGCGACAGCCACCCAGCCTAGCTAGTGGAGTTAGTATAGGCAGTAGCAGCAGTCAGACGGCCCAAGAGGCTAATCCGGCCGAGCAAGCAAGTACAACTTTGCCATGTTCGCTTAACACGGCGAAGGCGTCCGTGACCCACGGAGAAACGGAACGCACGCACTGAATGGGGCAAACCACGTACTGTACGCCGGCTAGACTGAAGCAGTCAAGCATGCATCGAGAGACGAATTAACAGCAAATTACGTGGTAGCTGAAGAAGAGGCGCACGGAACGGATCGGAGCCGCCCGCCGTGTTCTTTGGAGAAGACACGCGAGGAAGAATTTCCTAGGCAGGCATGCATGCATCTCCCTCCCACCGTGTGTGGTGTGCAGCAAGCAAGCAAGCAACGGGCAGCTGAGCTAACAGACAGTGTAGTACTTGTACCTGGATGAGGAGGTGGTGGCGGTGCGCGGGGGCGCAGTGCGGGCAGATGCTGGCGCAGCAGCCCAGGCAGAAGATGTTCTTCTCGTTCTTCTTCCGGTTCTCGTGCGCCGCGCACCCCACGAAGAAGCTCTCCTCCACCAGCCCGCCAACCCACCCGGGCCTCATCCCCATCTCCCTCGTCTCGCCTCCACAATTCCTCGCTCCGGATACCCCCGGCGGCTCTATCGCTCGCAGGTGTTCCTCCCGGCGAGCGAGCTCTCTCCCTCCCTCTCCCTCTCCGGCTAGCCGGACGGACGGCCGGGTAAGCACCGCGGCGAGTCGTGCTGGAGAGATTATTGGTATTCGCTAGATGGAATGGGAGAGGAGGAGGCGTACTCCGTTCCCGCAGCGCGCGGCTATATATAGAGGCGAGGCTACTGATAGCGATAGACTGTAGAGGGCATGGAGCCAAGTGGGCGGGGAGTGGAGTGGAGTGGAGTGGAGTGGCGCGCGGCGTACGAGAGCGTGGGACGGGACGGGACTACGGGACCGAGGGGGCGGCCCCGGGTCAGCAGCCATACGGGTTGGGTTGGGTGGTCAAAGCTAGCGAACGAACGAAGGAAGAGGCACTTGGGGGCCGTCGCGTCGCGGTCCAAGGCCGGCCCCGTCGTTTTCGCGCCGCTGCTCCGGCCGCGATCTCCTTTTCGTACGTTCGTGACCAGGGGAGCGGCGCAGCGCCCTGTGCGAATTGCTCCGCAAGTTCACCGGCCTTTCACGCAGGGAAACCAGCAACGGGATCACTTGCTTGCCACGTCGAGCGCCGCAACTCTTGCCACGGAGACGGACGGAGCACGCACGCGTACGGTTCCTTCCAGTTCCAGATCAACAGGTGTTGCAGGAGTCGGCAACCGTTCCTGGGCACATGGCCGCTGCCATTGAGCAGCTTTAAGATTTTTTTTTAATAGAATCATGCCCGTGCATTCCTACGCTTAGAAAGACGGATTTGATCATTTTGAGAAAACAATAGAAGCTAATAAATGATTTTGCATTGGGAACCCAAAACTATTTTCAAAACGTAGATGGGATCCATCCTCTGTCACGAATGAGGGAGGTCCAGAGAATTGGGGATGCTAAGCTACGGCGGTGCCGATCCTACTTAGCCTCCTTGGCTAGGGTTTAGTGGAATGTGCGGACGATGGTGACCACAAATTGTTGGGTGCATGATAGCTTTTTTGTACATGAATTGCTGGAGGACATGATCGAGCTGGAGTCTTGATTCTGCGTGTGGACAATCCGGAGCAAGTGGGGTGATGGCATCGGCGCGAGTGGGTCGAGCGGGGCGGGGTGACAACGGCGATTATGCTATGTTTTTTTTAGTTGTAGAGATATATTTCCTTGTGTTGCACCGGAGCCTAAAATTTTTGTCACACCTACGGCCAACGACACAATTGACACTTAATAGGTTTTTTTTCTTGAAAAACGCTAATGGGGTGATCAAGTCAAACACTTCGACGTCAAGTTTTTTTTAAATCCTAAATTCGTCTAGGTTTTTGTATAGGAAGAGAAGTTTTCGGATATCCTACTCTAAACTTCGGATAATCTATATCCACTTAATTTTGCCGGTTCTATATTTTATCTAGCCTCCGCACACAACCAGATTCGGATTATCCGTATCTGTATGCATATTAAAAGTGTTCTCCATGTCTACAAAATTCGGATTAAATTAGTTTTAGTTTAGGAAGAGAAGTTTTCGAATATCCTGTTCTAAACTTTGGATAATCTATATCCACTTAATTTTACCGGTTCTATATTTTATCCCGCCTCCGCATACAACCGGATTCGGATTATTCGTATCCGTATGCATATTTAAAGTGTTCTCCATGTGTACAAAATTAGTACCACCTTGGAAGCTGAAGCAGAGCCGAACCAGTTTAAAACCCTGGACCTGGGAGGCTATTAACTCCGATTCGAACCTTTTGCGCGAAGCGAGGACGAAAGCGCAAGAGAGTTAATTAACAGGTGTGGCCCATTCAACATGTAGAGTGTATCTTATCCGTCTTCTTGGGCTGGGGCGTTACAGGGCTGAGTGGGCAAGCTGCGCTGGAGCCACCGCCAGGGGGCTGCGCGGGCTTTGCCGCGTTGGCCACCGCACTGTGTCTGTTGGGGGCCAAGCGAGCTCTACTGCAACGGGTTCGCCGGAGGCCGCGCGTGCTGCTGCGTTGCTCCCGCGCGAAGGCCGTGACAACAGAGGATGAGAATGAGAGAGAGGAAAGGGATGAGAGAAAAAGAGATATCTACCATTGGTAGGTATGTCCCACCTAAATAAAAGGGGACAAATTTACTCAATCTGCTTCAGCAACACTCGCCTAAAATCATGAATCATGTTTTTTCAATCCCCTAAATGATATTTTAAGGGAAAGGGAAAAAGGATCCGATGGAGATGCTCTTATGTCCACATCGATTCATCACGGAATATAAAGTGACAACTCAAATTTAACATAAAACTAGATGATTTTTGGCGCTAGTGTACAAATTGACGAATTTTAATGGACACATGTAGTCCATCGTTGCTTCGTATTACTCTAAGACAAATACACACTGTCTAACAAAATACATCACGGATTCTAGCGATACTACCTTGATGCATATATCAAAAACAGAATTGGGGTTAGAGATGGAGGGACAGAGAACAATCCCAGTCCTAGTTAGCTCCCGTCGGGGATACATATCTTGTTTGGGAGGTTTTGTCCTTTCAAAACAGCTCTAGTTTTTGGGGAATATTCAACAATGCAGCAGGGAGTCATTTTTATCTCTTCTTGAAATGAACCATGAGTCAGTGAAGCTCGTATTTCTGACTTCGCCGTCTCCACCTCCTCCGGAGGCGTCATAGCCACCACAAAAAAAAAAAAAACTCTACCAATCATGATGATAATTTTTCTCGTTTAAATACCCATGGGAGAATTGGCCCCGGTCCCAACCCTGTCCTCTAAACAAAGGAATTTATTGTGGAAAATCGATAATAAAGATCCCATTTACTTAGTAGTTTCCTGGGCTCAGTCTTCAAAAAAAAAAAAAACCGTTGCATGAGGAGATCAATGCTATTTTTTTGAGGGAATGAATGAATGATCAATGCTAATTTGCTTGAGGATGTTCAGAACCTATATACGTATTATGTATATACTAAAATCCTATTGTTTACTCTGACGAGTACTTATCCTAGGAGTTTTCGTCCCAATGCAAACAATAATATCCTGATCTAAGTTAAGTACAGGTTCACAGTCCACAAACAAAACTAGCTGTGTACCAAACTGCCAAAACCAGCTGCAACTTACTATCTCCGATGATGGAGGCAAAGCACGCAACAATTGAAGCTCCTGAGTTCCCATGTCGCGAAAGCCTGAAGAGATAAGAGAGAGCTGAGGCCCCAGGTGGACAAGATACATACATGCATGCATGCAACAACGAAATCACTCCGCTCATCGATCTTGCGTCCTGGTAGCACTCCATTAGATAGAGCAGTACTGTGCAAAACGGAGGCTGTACTTGGCTCCAACCGCTCATGATTGATCGGAGCGGAAACGACTTGGCAACGGCCGCCGCCTCCTCCTCCCAAACCCATCATCTGAGACGGCCAGCCAGAAGTACAAAGGTCCTGGAACCCAAAACGGGCAAACCCCTCCAATGATTAGGCCGTGCAACGCGTACGTACTCGCGATCGAAGGCACCGGCACAGCCCCCTCCCGGATCCGGATCACCTAGCAGCGTACGTACTCGCGATCGAAGGCACCGGCCGGTGATCGAGCTCTCCATGATTCCATGCCAATAAACAAGCAGGCGATCGAATCGTCACACACACCTGAAGGAAAAGCACACACAAGCAATGAACGACGTACACTTGCAGGGATGGGTCGGTCGGTCGGTGAGCTCAAGGCCACGATCGATCCATGAACCAACAAGGACACAAGCAGGTGGCCGGTTCGGATATGCATATATGGATTCTTCTGTGCAAGTGCTCTATATCAGGCCTCGTAACACATGCATGCAAATGCTACTTCGGTATGGCCGTGGCTCCCCACCGGTGGCCAGATCGATCGAGATCAGCTGATTAGCTGCGATCGCGAGTACATGGACATGGGGACGGCGAGGGCGACGGGCGATGGCCAATAATACGCTAGCTAGCGCGCGCGGTGCAATGCGACGCGGGGCGGGCGGGCGGCCGGCGTTATGGTGGCTTGTCACGACGCCCGCTTTTGGCACGCCCGGCGGCCAGCGCCCCCCCCCTACCGTCGAGCGTTTTCGGCCGCGCATGTGCTTGGCCTTCAGATACCCACCCTACTGTACTAGTACGACGCTTGCAGCGCCGCTGCTCTGCTGGTCAAAACAGAAACTTCCCTGCAAGTTCCTGCTCTGCTCCCAATTGTGTGGATAGCTAGGCCGTCAAGCCGGGGGTCATGAGGTCATGTGAGGCGATTTTTCAGTTCTTCACCGATTCACTGTTTCACTTTCACTTCGCACGCATGTGCATGACTGATTCAGATAGATTATACACACACACAGTGTGAGAGATAGAGATGTAAACTTATATAGCAGTGCACCTGAATGAACACAGAAAGCAATTTGGTGTCGAATTTCTTCAGCATTAATTTCGTGTGGCTCGGATGCAGAAACGAGTTGGGATCATATGCACAGTGCGTGCCATTGGGCATTGGCTCGTCGTACGTTCACGTACCCTTGTCAAAATCCAGATCGCGAGGGCGTGATCACGATCACGCATAGTAGACTGTCGAAAATTCAAGGAGGCCGCGCCCGAAAGGCCAAGAAAGAAGGGCCTGAACATGCCACATCGCACGCGCCGTAGTCACCGAGTCAATTCCTAGACCATCATAGTCCCCATAGAATGGGGGGCAATCAAGCTGCATTTCGGCTGCTTTCATATATAATTGCCTGCCGGCATACCCTCACTGTCGCCAGCATTCACGTACGTAGCATCCTAGCTGCCTAGATCGTGAGTTCAGAACGCAGAATTTGTGGGCGATAAAAAACTAGAATGTCCACTGCATCCTGTGTGTGTGTTTTTGTTCACTGTATGGTATAAAAGCAAGAAAATTAGCCGGCACGTGCCTGTTGTCTGGCGCAGTTGGTAGAATAGAGGCACATGGTTTTTGTGCGTCTGGTCTCATGCACAAATCTGC